TGTTAGCGAGCAGCACCTATGAAGGCCGGCACGGCACACGAGGGGGTGGGTGGCCAGCACCACGCCCGACCGCCTTTGTCTCCCGAGTGGCGATGTTTACACATCACCCCAACCACCACATTCCATAGACGTATCACTCTTCGGAGTCAGCAGCAATCCTTCCTCCTTGCGAGCATCCCCGTCCACGCGTTGAGCACCGGGCGCTGTGGCGTCCTCGACTCATGTCCACAGCGACCCAGGAAACAATGCCAACGTTGGGCCACCGTTGGCAATGGAACGGTCAGCCCAACGTAGGGCCAACGTCCCATGTTTACTGGGGGCAACGTGACCAGGGCTTAGGTCAGCGACAGAGACGGGAAGGAACGCACGGAGTTGTCGGCGGGGTCAGGAGCTCGAGTCCGGCCCGCAGCGAGCACGCGTGTTTAGGGGCATCCCCGGCTACGGCTCGGTTCGCAGCAAGTGCCGGTGGTGGTTTGGGTTGAACGTCTGCAGAGAGACGTGAACGCGGACTGGCCAGTTTAACACATAGTAGGCTTCCGCCAACAATATCATCCATGATGCAGATTTTATTTGTGTTAGATCTCGTGAAAATATTAATGTGTCGTTACCCCCCCCTCCGCCCACTTCGCGCAGGAAGAGCGCACAAGTGACGTCACCACGTCTACGCCTCTATATAAGGATCGAAACAGGAGGACTTCTACACAAATCTGGCTGTCGCCTGATGAAGCTGGTTGTAATCACTGGCGAAACGTCGTACTCAGATTGTAAATGTTGTGGCTTGGCTCTCCAACACACCGGTTAGTGCTGTACTAGTGACGAATTGGCCACGTTCCGTTTACGTGACAACCCTTACTAGTTGGCTGTGTCAGGTGGTGGCGGGTTTTAACGACACAACATTTATATATTTACGCGATCTAACCCAACAAAAAACCTGCATTACGGACTGGCCATTCGTGCGATTGGCTGCAGTGGCAGAGCTCGTGGCTGTTCGCGTTGGAGGCAGCCGAGAGCCGCCTCTCGAGTGCACGAGGCTCCACCACCGATGTCGCTCGCACATCAAGCGCCGCCACTTCTCACGTGAGTAGTGCAGGCCGGGGGGGGGGAGTCCAGGAGAGAGAAAACAACCAGGGCGCTACTACGCCTCGGTTTGATGTTCCTTGCCCCCCCCCCCCACCGCCACCCCCCCCCCCCCCCCCCCCCCGTGTGTGTTCACTCATAGACGGCGAGTCCTCGCTTAACGCGTGGCGGGGTTCACGCGACGACGAGTTTTTGCTGTGACGCGCTTCCTTCCATTCGGGGAACACTTTTCGCACAACGCGGAACACGCACCCGTTATAACGCGGAACGCACGCCACGTTATAATGCTCACCCCGTTATAACGCGGAACGCACGCCACGTTATAAGGCGATTTCTGAGCGGCCAACGACGAATGACTTTCTTGAGCTGCGGCGGCTGAGCGGAGTGACACAGTGACGCGGCGGCGTACCCTCACGCTATGTGTCCCGCCATCTCACTGCATGCGCGTAGCGGTGCATCGTACCTCCATAAAACTTGATCGTCATTGACATTATTTGTGGGGGGATTATGTTCGCTACTGGCGCCTGTAAGCGAGGCGTCGCCGTCTGTCACGTTGAACTGACCGTTCGTCTCGCGCGATGCGAGTTCCCGCAACCACTCTGCAAGCGATGGCCGAGTTTTAGAATCGACGAACGCAACACCCCCCACCCCATTTCCCCTGTCCTGACTACCCCCCCCCCCCTACAAATACACGGAATGGCCCAGTCCAGCCACACACGGGCGCAATGTGGCTGGTGGCGCGCATCTAGGTCCGCTTGGCCTGAAATGAACACCCTACGGTGTGGTTCTGTGGCCGAAGCCGCTTGAACCCGGGTTCGACTCCGGGCCACGAAACCATCACCGGCGGCAAAGCGGTGTTCTGCGCCTTCGCTGGGTCTTACCCCTGGGTTGGCTCAGCCTGGAATGAGCTACCACGGGGCGGTGTGTGACCGGCCGAGTGTGGAGCTGGCCACACCGCCCTCTCCACGAGAGTCGTACCGGCATTAACAGGAGCTTGCTAGCACGACTCGCACCCCGACACGCTCCAGGGTTTGTCTCTGTCGAGCCGTCCGCTCAGCGTTGGGGTCCATTCCCCTGGGACACCTCAAGCAATCCCGGGGAGGTCTTTGTTAAATAATAAAAATCTTCATCGGCTCATTCCCTGGTTGTAAGGAATATTTTGGGACCAGATTCCCTTCTCGACGAGCGACCGTTTCAGCCTGATTTTTGTTGACATCGTACCGATAACTCCATCACCGAAATCTCCATCACCGAGACCTCCGTCACCGAGATCTCCGTCACCAAGACCTCCATCATCGAGAGCTCCATCACCGAGACCTCCGTCACCGAGATCTCCGTCACCGACATCTCCATCACCGAGATCTCATCACCGAGATCTCCATCACCGAGACCTCCATCACCGAGATCTCCATCACCGAGATCTCCATCACCGAGATCTCCATCACCGAGATCTCCATCACCGAGATCTCATCACCGAGATCTCCATCATCGAGATCTCCATCACCGAGATTTCCATCACGACACCTCCATCACCGAGATCTCCATCAATCACCGAGATCTCATCACCGAGACCTCCATCACCGAGATCTCCATCATCGAGACCTCCATCACCGAGATCTCCATCACCAAGACCTCAATCACCGAGATCTCCATCACCGAGATCTCATCACCCAGACCTCCATCACCGAGATCTCCATCATCGAGACCTCCATCACTGAGATCTCCATCACCGTGACCTCTATAACCGAGATCTCCATCACCGAGACCTCCATCACAGAGACTTTCATCGCTGACAAAGCGACAAATCAGCGGTAAACATGACATGATTCAGCCACGCTGCGCCAGGGATTGTGAATTGGGCCCGAATCCCGAAGCCATTTCCCTCCAGCGACGCAAACGACGCAGCGAGATCCTTCATCTGCCCACGTGCGAGTCCGTGGGTCATGGCTTGAGTGGAGTTCATCGTACCGAGTCGAGTGAGGCCCCATCCTGCCAAGGGAGCCAGGTACCTACGAGGTCGACGATAATCTGCGGACTACCCTAACCTTTGACCTCGGTTCAAATAAAACCCATGAGCGGACAAGAACATCTCACGATATTAATCTCACGCGGTCTCGGGAATGTCCCAACCTTCTTCGCATTCCTTCGCTTCGTCAAATGTTGGCGATGGCTCGGCTCAAACGCGACGTGGAGGAGATTCAAACCGGTCACATCTCATCGGCATTCACGACAAGGGAACTTAGGGCAAGGGGAATGTCATCATCATCATCATCAATCGTCGTCGTCGTCGTCATCGTCACCAATCTCAGCAGCAAGATAAAATGAGGCACTTTCTGACGGAGCGCGCTTTCGTGAATTCAGCGACGTGGCGCGCACACACGCACACACGCACACACGCACACACACACACGCACACACACGCGCTCACACGCGCACACACACACACACACGTGCGCGCACACACACACACACTTGCACACACACGCACGTAAACACGCACACAAATACGCACATGCACGCTCACACACATGCAAGCACACACACACATGCACGCACACAGCCAAACGCGCACACACACACACGCACACACACACATGCACACACACACACACACGCATTTTATAACTGTACACAGGCAGTGCTGTCGTTTGACACAAACCACGGGCGACTCGTCCGACGAACAACAACACAGCAACCCAATCGCCGTTACATCGACGGAAGCGACGTTGGGATCGTACCGATCGGCCCCCCACCCCACCCACCCGCCGCCCCCGTTGGGGATCATCAGCAAGCCGTCGTAGTTGCATAACACGTGACCGCGCGCGTACGGAGTTTCGCTGCGGAAATCGCCGGGTCGAACCGTAACCCCCCCCGCCCCCCCCCCCGCCCCCGCCCCAACCGCTCGTACCGTTGCCGCACCCAGCCGGGGGATGAACTCACACCCTGTCGCGGCACTTTGGCACGCTGTGGCACGCTCGTGGCACGCTGTGGCACTGTGGCACGCTGTGGCACGCTGTGGCACGCTGTGGCACGCTCGTGTGTCAATAAGCACACCGGCCCCCCCCCCCACCCCCCCAAAAACGAATTGCCCCCCTCTTCACTGCGAATGAACAAGGTGTCATGGCCCGGAACGTCGTCTACCATTCATCACGTTTTTTCCGTCCTTTTAGGGTTGCAGCATTATTGATGAATGCGTTGCGTCCGTGTTTGACAAGATCTACTTGCTTGTGTTGTTGTTGTTGTGGTTCAGTGTTTACAATATAAATGTGTTTGGGGTGGGGGGAGGGGTTATATACAGATGCATGAGGGGGGGGGGCAAGTAATCATAGGGGGCCCATGGGGGTCCAGGTAGCCAAGGGGGGTCCATGAAGGAGGGGACACAGAGGTGGGGGTTAGGGGGGTTTGGTCCCCCACGGAGCAACACTCGAAGGGGGTGGGGGGCATTCGCACGCTAACACGACCCACGCTTGAATTGGTGGAATTAATTTTGCCGGATTCAGGTGGTGGTCACGGTGGTGGTGGTCATGGTGATCGTGCTGGTGGTGGTCACGGTGGTTGTGGTGGTGGTCATGGTGATCATGGTGGTGGTGGTGGTGGTGGTCATGGTGATCGTGCTGGTGGTGGTCATGGTGGTTGTGGTGGTGGTCATGGTGATCATGGTGGTGGTGTTCATGGTGATCATGGTGGTGGTGTTCATGGTGATCATGGTGGTGGTGTTCACGGTGGTGGTGGTGGTCATGGTGATCGTGGTGGTTGTGGTGGTGGTCATGGTGATCGTGGTGGCCATGGTGATCATGGTGGTGGTGGTGGTCATGGTGGTTGTGGTGGTGGTCATGGTGATCATACTGGTGGTCATGATGATCGTGGTGGTGGTCATGATGGTGGTGGTGATGGTGGTCATGGTGGTTGTGGTGGTGGTCATGGTGATCGTGGTGGCCATGGTAATCATGGTGGTGGTGGTCATGGTGGTTGTGGTGGTGGTCATGGTGATCATACTGGTGGTCATGGTGATCATGGTGGTGGTGGTGGTGGTCGTGGTGGTGGTTGCGATCCAGCAATGTGGAGGCAAGGGTCGGTGGATCACGCAGAGATTTTGTGAAACTCCCGAACCAACAAGGGAAACGAGGTGGCCGAGATGTGGCCACACAGCAGTGGGTTCTTGAATCCATCCGTGCGGACCTTTAAGTGTGATGCCCTCGTTTGCGTGCTGGGTTTTCTCTGGGGTTCTCCGGATTCCTTCCACGGCCCTCACTGAAAAAAGTGGAATTGGCCGAACATCCAAATATAGCAGGACTCCCGTGAAACCAATATTCACCATGATCGATCACCAGCGCATCATTGCAGCCGGGGCTGTCCGGATCGCCGACCTTGAATATGATTCCGCGCCCGGCACACCGCATCCAGAGTGTCCCTCTCACGATGAGCCGGGGCTACCACAGGCCTCGCACAGCCATCGCCGGTCTCACCGGGCGAGAGAGAACCACAAACCAATCTCCGGCCGTCACAACTTGGGCCTCCATCCTCCCACGAACTGCAGCACCTTCTTGGCCTGCAGCTTACTGAGCCGGAAGTCCTGCAGCAGCATCTCCTCGGTGAGCTGCGCCAGCAGCGTGCCGTCGACGCACTCGCGTGCGAACAGCCCCACCGCGTCGTCCGAGAAGCCGATGAACCTCAGCGACCGGCAGACGCCCTGCACCGTGAGGCCCGCCAGGTCGGCCGGCGGCTGCCACGCCATCCCGTCGCCGCTCGACCTTCCCTCCGAGCCCGCCGACGAGGTCGTGTCGCCCGCCTGCGACTGGACCGGCGCCGCGACCGGCGCCGTGCGGAATCCCCCCGCGTCGCTGAAATCGAAGGGGAGGAAGGGGTTCCCGTTCTTGGCCGGAAGCGCCGGCGCCGGCGCCGTGGGAGGCGCCGGCGCCGGCGGCTCGGACGGAGGGAAGACGTCCGGGCTGAGCGGAGGGGAACGCGCGACAGGGGGGGTCGCGCCCCTCTCGCCGCACTCGCAGTGGATCGTGGGGGGCGTCCCCCCAAACCCGGGGCTGCCCCCTCCTCCCCCTCCCTTCCGCCTCCTCGAGTCGCACTCGCACGGCCGCGAGGCGCGCAGCGGGGATGCCCCCGCTGCAGCTGCCGTCAACGACGCGGCTTCTCCTGCTGCCGCTTCTCCTGCTGCCGCTTCTCCTGCTGCCGCTTCTCCTGCTGCCGCTGGCGCTGCCGCTGGCGGTGGCGGTGGCGGTGGCGACGGCGGCGGCGGCGGCGGCGAGGATGTGAAGGCATCGCCACCGCCACCGTTGCTCCTCCTCGGCGTAGGGCACGGGCGAGCGGCCGCGTCCGCTCGCGGCGCATCGGCCGCGTCGCGCGACCCCGGCCGCGTCGAGCAACCGCCGGTCGGCGCGCACCGGCCGGGCGGCGGCGGCGGCGTTTGCCGCTCCTCGTTCCCGCAGCCGGCCGCCGCCACCGCCGTCGCCTCTGGCCGGTGGCCGCAGGGGTCGCGGGTCAACGGCACGTCGGGGTCGGCGGAGAACGCTCGGCTCAGCTCGCACCAGGAGCGCCGGGCGGAGGACGAGGAGGAGGATGATGAGGAGGTGGACGAGGTGGACGAGCAGGAGGGAGGGCGGCCGGTGTGGGGAGCCGCGGAGGCGCGCGGGACGGGGCGAGGGGGAGACGGCGCCTCGCCCACCGACACCGGGCGGCTCGCGAGCTTCCTGCTGCTGCTGCTGCTGCTGTGGTGCACGGGGACAGCGAGAGAACACGAGGAGGTGGTGATGATGATGATGATGGTGGTGGTGGTGAGGATAGTGGTGGTGTGGTGTTAGTTGTGCCCATACTACAGAGAACACGATGGCGACAACAACACAATCTGCTTCCTGTAAACTCTGAACTTGCATCACCTTCATGGAACACGTAAATAATTACATCATCATCATCAAGATCATCATCAAACATGTTCTATCCACTGCAGTGAATGTATGTGTGGGTTCATGTTGCTCTGAATGCCATCGTGTATGTGACATTGAGTAAAGCCGTGCAAAGGGATCCCGGTTGGAAGAGAACGAACAGATTAATTATTTAATTATTGTTTGACGTCTGAATGAAACAGGGACACGTGGTCTTGTGGTGAACGGATATAAGCCACCCGGGCCTCAACCAGCAGTGGATTGAGAGTGACTGTACATGCACATGTAGCTTAATAAACAATTATACTAATTAAGTTAATAGTGATCGCACAGACAGACAGACAGACCCGGAGCCTTAACTATATAAAACAAAACCAGAGTGAAATACAACGATTAAAAACAACATTACATAATCTGATGGGGCTATGGGAATATCAAATCAATCCTCCCCCACCTCCACCCTCCTCACGGAAATGAGCTGCTCCACTCGCCCTGTCTCTCTTCACTGCCTACTGCAGTTGGAATGGTCCACTTTGAGTTTATTTGATGCGGGGGGGGGGGGGGGCGGTAGATTTGTGAATAACAGCAAAGGCATTCTGTGGTGAGGGCGAGCAGAAATGTGAATACAAATGAGGGTGAATGGGGACGCGGGGGGATCAATGGTGAGGATGGGGGAGGGGCAGGGAGGGGGGTGGAGGGGAGGGGGTGAGGGGGATGCTGCAGTGTGAATGTGGATGGGGAGGTGAGCGGAAGGTGGTGGAAATGATGATGTCGCCTTGAAAATAATGATGGTGGTGATGATGATAACGATGGCTAGTGAATTATTAAGAAGGATGTTGCTGTTTAGGGCGATGTTACAAATATTGCTCATGACGATGTAGGTGGTGACCATGTCGCTGACGATGCTGTTAACAATGTAGGTGACGACATTTTAATGTTTAATATTAATTATGTTAACCGTGACATTGATAATAACGATAATGACGACGTAGTTGGTGATAATGATGTTGATGAAGTTAACGATGATGATGAAGTTAACGATGATGAAGAAGTTGATGATGATGATGATGACGGTGATAACAATGTCGATGACCACGACGATGATGACGATGATGTTGACGAAGATGACGACGCTGACAATGATGACGATGTTGATGACCACGACGGCGACGATGTTGACGAAGATGACGATGCTGACGACTGAGATGACGATGGCGTGTGCTCACAGGCGGTGCAGGCCGGAGGAGTAGAAGGAGAGATTGGGGCTCTGTGCCCAGGCTGGGGGTTCCTGTGGGGGGGCCCCCAGCAGGAGCCGCGTGCCAGCGGCACCGCGGGGGGGCACGGGGGGGCTGGGGGCGGCCGCGGGCTTCGTGCTCCGGGGGGGCACGGGGGGCGCGTTCAGCAGACGGCACTCCTCCCGCACCTCAGAGACAAACAGCAGCAGCAGCGTCATCATCATCATCAGCAGCAGAAGCGTCATCATCATCATCAGCAGCAGCGTCATCATCATCAGCAGCAGCAGCGTCATCATCAGCAGCAGAAGCAGCAGCGTCATCATCATCAGCAGCAGCAGCGTCATCATCATCAGCAGCAGCGTCATCATCATCATCAGCAGCAGCAGCAGCGTCATCATCATCATCAGCAGCAGCGTCATCATCATCAGCAGTAGCGTCATCATCAGAAGCAGCAGCGTCATCATCAGCAGCAGTGTCATCAGCATCAGCATCATCACCAGCAGCAGCGTCATCATCATCATCAGCAGCGTTAGTCGCAGCATAATCATCATCAGCAGCAGCGTCATCATCATCAGCAGCAGCAGCGTTATCATCATCATCAGCAGCAGCAGCGTCATTAGCAGCAGCAGTAGCGTTATCAATAGCAGCAGCATCAGTATAAGCATCATCATCAGTAGATGGCACTCCTCATGCACTACAGAGACCGACATCATCAGCAGTCGACATCATGATCAGCAGCAGCATGATCAGCAACACCAGCGGCATGAGCAGCAGCAGCAGCAGCAGCGTCGTCGTCACCACGAGTGATAGCCACAGCGATGCGCCCGCTTGTTCTGTGCGCCTCGGCACTGCAACCCGAGCGCCGGCCGCCGTGAACCTCTCCCCGCTACTCACGGCCTCGGACTTGGGCGGCACGGGGGGCGGCGGGGAGACCCCCCTTTCGGGGGGGGGCTCGGGCTCCGGGGAGACCCCCCCGGTTCGCTCGGGGGTGCCGCGACCGCTGCCGCAGCCCCCCGCAGACGCCGCCCTCGCCAGGGGTCTCAGTCCCCCGCCTCCTCCCCCGCCTCCTCCCCCGCCTCCTCCCCTGCCTCCTCCGCCCGCTCCGCCACCCCCCACGGCGGTGGTGCCGGAGGGGGTCGGGGGGCAGCTGGGAGCTGCGGGGGGCACGCTCAGGGGGGTGCGTGCCCCCCAAGCGTCCGCGTTGCGGGGGTTTGGTTCCGACCACAGCACCTCGTACGGGAAATCGGGGGGCCTGTGAAAGGGGGAGGGGGGGGCGAGGGGGGCGTCACATTGCAGACGGCGCCACGCTACGTCGCGCCGCACACGCCGCTGCTACACTGTACCGCAATGTCCCGTGGTGCTGCACTGTACCGCTTCGTCACACCGGGTCCCAGCGATCTCCGCCGCTCTAACGAGCATCGGCGCTTATCTCCCGTTTACGGCCCTGCAGAGCCAGCGGTGGACTTTCCACGTTCCTGTAGCGGGGCCGAGTCTGTTTCGTGCTGAGGACAAACGCTGCCGACTTTACCACACAAAGCAGTACTAATTTGATCGTCCCCGGAGCAACGGTGGGCGGAGTCAAGAGCCAAAACCAGGGGTTGAACTTCCCTACGGTTAGCGGTTCGGGATCCCATGGGTCACCATGGGATCCCATGGGTCACCATGGGATCCCATGGGTCACCATGGGATCCCATGGGTCACCATGGGATCCCATGGGTCACCATGGGATCCCATGGGTCACCATGGTCACAACCGCGGTGGCGTGCGTGGACCGCGTGTAAACACGCCGCTCGCGAGCCAGGCGCCGAGTCACCCTGTGCCGCACGGGGACGGCCGCCACCGGGGGCGACCCTTTCAAATGGGGCCGGGGGGTGGGCCACGGGGGGCGGCACCTCCTCCATCGCGCCGCACGGATCGCTCCGACGACGATGCGCTCGCCGCTCTCCTCACCTCCCGGCGGGTGCCTCCCGCGACCGCGACCGCTCCCCCCCCTCCTCCTCCTCCGCCGCCGCCCCCCCCCTGGCACCCCCCCCGCACTCCCGCGGGGGCCTCGCCGATCGCTCTCGGGCGGCCGAGGGGCTGCTCGACTGCCTGCGCTCGGCAGCGGCGGCGTCGGGTTCCGAGGTCCCGGCCGCCCCGACCCCGACGCTCCCGGAGGCCGGCGCCACCGGCGCCGCCGGCGGCGCCGCCGGCGCTCCCGGCTCGGCGGAACCGCCGGGCGGGCCGGCGACGCCGGCGGTGGCCCCGGCGGCGACCCCGGCGCTGGCGCCGGCGTTGGTGCCGGCGGTGCCGGCGTGCAGGCTGCCTCCATAGACGCACACGGAGAGGCGGTGGAAAGAGCGCGTGAGCTCGTCGCGCGCGTAGTGCAGGGACGTCGGCACGGAGGCGGAACCCGATCCGGAGCGCCCGCACGCGCGCTGCATGCGTTGTCGTCGTTGTGGTGCGTGACGGAGAGAGGGGGAGAGGGAGAGAGACAAAGACGGACGGGAGAAGGAGTGGCACAGGAATGGTAAGCGAGGGCAGCAGTGTCGACTCCACACGAATAATGCACATTCGTTCATTCATTACGGGCAAATGTGTGAGTGAGTGAATCAATAAATTAGCGAGCGAGTGAGCGAGCGAGCGAGCCAGCGAGTGGGTGTCCGCGTGCGTGCGTGCGCTGCGCGTGGCCTCGCCTGCCGGGGGCTGGCGCCGGGCTCCGCGGCCTCGCCGGCGGTGTCGGGCCGCACCTCACGCACGGCGCGCGAGTATTCGTCCACGTCGAAGCGCTGCTGCAGCCACGCCAGCCGCTCCAGCACCAGCGCCTCGTACGCACGCTCGCCTGCACCGCCATGAAGACAGAGACCCCCCCCCCACGTGGAGCCTTGACAGACTGTCGGGGCAAGCGCTGCTTAGCGAGCGGCGGCGCCTGTGAAGGCCGGCACGGCACACGAAGCGGGTGGGAGGCCACCTTTGTATCCCCGGTGGTGATGTTTACGCACCGCACCAGGTACTTATTTGAGTTTGAGGCGACTTAGGGGAGGCCCAGGAGCGGATCAGATAATCGTTAGCGGTGTTGGCCGTGAGCGGGAATCTAACTCGGGTCGCCAGGTTGGTAATGCAGCGTAGCGCTAACCGCTACACCAACGCTCCCCACCACCGTCAACGCCAACTCCACCACCATCAACACCACCACCACCAACGCCACCTCCACCATCATCAACACCACCATCATCAACACCACCACCACTTTTCGATTTAAAGCTTTCGTGACTGCAAGGATTCATCTTCTTTGTTTCTTTCGGTAAAGTCACGTAGAATGAGAATAAAATAATAAAATAAAACAATAAAATTCTCGCGACGTTTCGGCCACAACACAAGTGGCCTTCTTCAGGTGACAGAGCATTGTAGCTCTGTCGTCCCGACAGGTTTGTTCCTTTCACCTGAAGAAGGCCATTTGTGTTGTGGCCGAAACGTCGTGAGAATTTTATTGTTTTATTTTATTATTTTATTCTCATTCTACGTGACTTTATCGAAAGAACCAAAGAAGACCACCACCACTATCAACACTACTTTATTGTTGTTGTGGTACTAATTGTTGTTGTGGTGGTTATAGTTGTTGTTGTGGTGGTATTAGTTGTTGTGGTGGTATTAGTTGTGGTGGTGGTATTAGTTGTTGTGGTGGTATTAGTTGTGGTGGTGGTGGTATTAGTTGTTGTGGTGGTATTAGTTGTTGTGGTGGTGGTATTAGTTGTTGTGGTGGTATTAGTTATTGTGGTGGTGGTATAGTTGTTGTTGTGGTATAGTTGTTGTTGTGGTGGTATTAGTTGTTGTGGTGGTGGTATTAGTTGTTGTGGTGGTGGTGGTATTAGTTGTTGTGGTGGTATTAGTTGTTATGGTGGTATTAGTTGTTGTTGTTGTGGTGGTATTAGTTGTTGTTGTGGTATTGTTGTTGTTGTGGTGGTATTAGTTGTTGTGGTGCTATAGTTGTTGTTGTGGTATTGTTGTTATTGTGGTGGTATTAGTTGTTGTGGTGGTGGTATTAGATGTTTTTGTGGTGGTATTAGTTGTTGTTGTTGTGGTGGTATTAGTTGCTGTTGTTGTGGTATTGTTGTTATTGTGGTGGTATTAGTTGTTGTTGTGGTGGTGGTATTAGATGTTGTTGTGGTGGTATTAGTTGCTGTTGTTGTGGTATTGTTGTTGTTGTGGTGGTATTGTTGTTGTTGTGGTGGTATTAGTTGTTGTTGTGGTGGTATTGTTATTGTTGTTGTGGTATTAGTTGTTGTTGTTGTGGTATTGTTGTTGTTGTTGTGGTATTAGTTGTTGTTGTTGTGGTATTAGTTGTTGTTGTTGTGGTGGTATTGTTGTTGTGGTATTGTTGTTGTTGTGGTGGTGGTATTGTTGTTGTGGTATTGTTGTTGTTGTGGTGGTGGTATTGTTGTTGTGGTATTGTTGTTGTTGTGGTGGTGGTATTGTTGTTGTGGTATTGTTGTTGTTGTGGTGGTGGTATTGTTGTTGTGGTATTGTTGTTGTTGTGGTGGTGGTATTGTTGTTGTGGTATTGTTGTTGTGGTGGTATTGTTGTTGTGGTATTGTTGTTGTTGTGGTGGTATTGTTGTTGTGGTATTGTTGTTGTTGTGGTATTGTTGTTGTTGTGGTGGTATTGTTGTTGTTGTGGTGGTATTGTTGTTGTTGTTGTGGTGGTGGTATTGTTGTTGTGGTATTGTTGTTGTTGTTGTGGTATTGTTGTTGTGGTGGTGGTATTGTTGTTGTTGTGGTGGTATTGTTGTTGTGGTGGTATTGTTGTTGTGGTGGTGGTATTGTTGTTGTGGTATTGTTGTTGTTGTTGTGGTATTGTTGTTGTTGTTGTGGTGGTATTGTTGTTGCTCACAGCGCCCCCTCCTCACCCTTGATGAGGCCTTCAGGGAGGTTGAACCTGGGGAGGGGGGCGCCCCCCCCCAGAGTGAAGTGGAGTGGCACCACCACGGTGGAGGAGTCGACATGAGTGGGGGGCGGCCCCCCACACCCCGCCGGGCCCCCACAGCCCCCCGAGAACACCGGACAGGGACCTGCAGCCCCAACACCACACGAGCAAACACACAGGGACACATCCATCAACACATACACACAGATAAACACACATCCATCAACACACACACACAAAGATCAACACACAGGGACACATCCATCAACACATACACACAAAGATCAACACACACAAAGATCAACACACAGGGACACATCCATCAACACATACACACAGATAAACACACATCCATCAACACACACACACAGATCAACACACATCCATCAACACATACACACACAGATCAACACACACAGGGACACATCCATCAACACACACACACAGATCAACACACAGGGACACATCCATCAACACATACACACAAAGATCAACACACAGGGACACATCCATCAACACATACACACACAGATCAACACACAGGGACACATCCATCAACACATACACACACAGATCAACACACAGGGACACATCCATCAACACATACACACACAGATCAACACACAGGGACACATCCATCAACACTTACACACAAAGATCAACACACACATCCATCAGCACATACAGGGACACATCCATCAACACATACACACACAGATCAACACACACATCCATCAGCACATACACACAAAGATCAACACACAGGGACACATCCATCAACACATACACACAAAGATCAACACACACAAAGATCAACACACAGGGACACATCCATAAACACATACACACAAAGATCAACACACAGGGACACATCCATCAACACATACACACAAAGATCAACACACACATCCATCAACACATACACACACAGATCAACACACAGGGACACATCCATCAACACATACACACAAAGATCAACACACACATCCATCAACACATACACACACAGATCAACACACAGGGACACATCCATCAACACATACACACAAAGATCAACACACAGGGACACATCCATCAACACATACACACAAAGATCAACACACACATCCATCAACACATACACACACAGATCAACACACAGGGACACATCCATCAACACATACACACAAAGATCAACACACAGGGACACATCCATCAACACATACACACAAAGATCAACACACAGGGACACATCCATCAACACATACACACAAAGATCAACACACAGGGACACATCCATCAACACATACACACAAAGATCAACACACAGGGACACATCCATCAACACATACACACAAAGATCAACACACACATCCATCAACACATACACACACAGATCAACACACAGGGACACATCCATCAACACATACACACAAAGATCAACACACAGGGACACATCCATCAACACATACACACAAAGATCAACACACAGGGACACATCCATCAACACATACACACAAAGATCAACACACAGGGACACATCCATCAACACATACACACAAAGATCAACACACAGGGACACATCCATCAACACACACACACAAAGATCAACACACACAAAGATCAACACACAGGGACACATCCATCAACACATACACACAGATCAACACACAGGGACACATCCATCAACACACACACACAAAGATCAACACACAGGGACACATCCATCAACACATACACACACAGATCAACACACACATCCATCAACACACACACACAAAGATCAACACACACCAAGAATCACAGACACACATCAACACACACACACAAAGATCAACACACACAAAGATCAACACACACAAAGATCAACACACACACACACACAAAGATCAACACACACAAAGAATCACAGACACACATCAACACACACACAAAGATCAACACACACAAAGATCCCCCGTGTAGCCTCAACAAGTGCTGTATGCGAGCACCTACGAAGCCCGGCAAGGCACACGAGGGGGTGGGTGGCCAGCACCACGCCCGGCCGCCTTTGTCTCCCCAGTGCCGATGTTCACACACCGCACCAGGCACTCATTCGAGGCCGAGCCGACCTAGCGAGACGCGCAAACTTCCAAATATACAGCAGCAGCGGCAGCAGGCGTCGGGGTCGGGATGGAACCCACGACCTCCTGCGCACCGGGCGAGGGAGTCAACATCCCCTCGCCACCGCGGCTCCGTGCTGGGTCACCGCGCCAGCGCATTCACCGTTGGCGTCACCGCCGGCTTCGCCGCCGGGGGCGGCCGTCGTCCCCCCCCGCGCCGCCGCCGCCGCCGCCGCCGCCGCCGCCGCGACTGCCGAGCCCGGCGCAGGCGGAGGGCTCGGCGGGGCGCAGGGCGCAGCAGACGGCCACGGTGCGGGCGCGGAGGCCCACGAGCTTGTAGCGGTGGCCCTCCCGCACCACGTGCTGGTCGTGAGGGTTGCGCGGGGGGGGGGCGCCGCGCGACGGCACCACCACGCTGACGGGCAGGCGGGCACGCTCCACTATGGCCCTGCAGGCGGGGGGGGGGGAGAGGGTGGGAAGAGGGGGGGAGAGGGGGAGAGAGGGGGGGAGAGAGGGTGGGGAGATCGAGAGTGAGTGGGTCGGGGGGGGGGGGTGAGATAGGGAGAGTTTAGAGAGGGGGAGAGTGAGTTATGGTTTGCGTGAGTGATTCAGTTAGTGAGTCGGTAGGTGAGTGGATGGGTTCATGGGTAGTTGAGTGGGAAAGCGAGGGAGCGAGTGGGTGGGTGGGTGAGCGAGTGAGCGACCGGGTGAATAGGTGAGTGGGCGAGTGAGCAGCTTAGTGGGTGAATGGGTGAGCGAGCGAGCGAGTGAGCGAGCGGGTGAGCGTGGTGCTCACCGCAGCGTGTGCTCTCCGTCCCGCAGCTGCGCCTCTGCGGGGCTCCGCGTGCTGAAGCGGCCGCGGCACTGGAATGGCAAACTGAGGCTCTCGTTGGTGCGGTGGTTCATGCAGATGAGGCACGGCATCTTCCCCCCGCGGGGAGACGACGACGACGAGGAGGAGGACGACGAGGAGGAGGAGGCGGTCGGCGGCGTCGGCGTCGGCACGGCCGTGCCGAGCCCCGGCGACGCCAGCCCGAAGCTCGCGCCGCCGGCGATGCCGCCGCCGCCGCCGCCGCTCACGCCGGCCGCACCCACGAAGCTCGGCGAGCCTCCAGCACCGCCGCCGCCGGCATGCTGACCGGCACCCCTGTGGTATCTCCCGCCTCCGCCACCGCCTCCGCCGCCTCCGCCGCCTCCGCCGCCTCCGCCGCCTCCGCCGCCTCCGCCGCCTCCGCCGCCACCGTTGTTGTTGTTGTTGTTGACGCGATCGGACGAGGAGGAGACGCCGAGCTGCAGGCGGCCGCCGAACTTGCGGAGCAGCGCGGCGAGGCGCGTGCGCTCCTTGGGCGCCTTGCCGCAGATCAGCTCCGCCTGGCCCATGAGCGTGAGCTCGTCGCCCGCGTTCAGCGTGAAGTTGTACACCTCCGAGTCCTCGTTGTACTCGCCCGACGCCACCTGGCACGGGCGAGGGGCGGGGGGCGAGGGGCGGGGGGCGGGGGGCGGGGGGATGGTGGAGCGGGGATCAACAGCAAAGCCAGGCACAGACAAGGAAGAAAGATCATGCACACGCATGGATTCCCTAAAGCGTTCCAATCGACACGCTTCTCCCCGACTCGTGGCTGCAGAGTGCACCACACAGAGTTGACCATCCTTCCCAGAGCTGCTCCAACGTTGGCCCGACGTTAGCCACAGTTCACATTTACTGGCCCGGGGTCACCAGCACGACGAGAGCGAAAATGAATGGGAGACTTAGAACCCAGATTGAGAACCCAGAGTTAGAACTCGGATTTAGAATGTGGAGGAGTTACAATGCGAAGGCGTAAGACCGTGGTGGTGGTGGTGGTGGGGTGGTGGTGGTGGTGGTGGTGTGGTGGTGGCGGCGGCGGCGGCGTGGTGGTGGTGGTGGTGTGGTGGTGGTGGTGTGGTGGTGGCGGCGGCGGCGGCGTGGTGGTGGTGGTGGTGGTGTGGTGGTGGCGCCGGTGGCGGCGGCGGTGTGGTGGTGGTGGTGTGGTGGTGGTGGTGCGGACGCCGTCCCTGCGTCGTGGTGGACACCTTGACGCTGAAGGAGATGTCCTCCATGACGAAGACGCGGTCGGGGAAGGCCTTGGCCACTTCTTCCACGCTGCCGAAGAACTGCACGGGCTCCTTGGCATCGCGCTCCTGCTCCAGCAGCTTGAACTTACCTGGGGGGGCGGGTGCACGTGTATGTACGGCCACAACAACATAAACACATGCACAACTCAACAACAACAACAATACACCACACAACAACAACAATACACAGCACCAAAAACATCCAGGGCGTCATCAACACACCCTGAGATAGAGACATCGACCCACTGTCATACGGACAAAGACAAAGATCCCCCCGAAAGCCTTGACAGGCTGTTGGGGGCAAGTGCTGTTAGCGAGCACCTATGAAGGCCGGCACAGCACACGAGGGGGGTGGGTTGCCAGCATCACGCCTGGCCGCCTTTGACTCCCCAGTGCTGATGTTTGCACGCCCCACCAGCACGCACACTCAGACAGACGTCGTACGTACACACCGACACACGCGCCCACACACACACACTCTCCCTCCCCCACTACATGTCTTTGTAAAATATATCCCTAACTGGCAGACAGAGAGAGAGCTGGGAGTGGTGAAGAGTGATGGGGGCGTCAGGGGTAGGGGTGTTGGGGGTTAGGGTGTTAGGGGTGGAGTTAGGTGTGAGGCTGTGGGTAAGGGGTGTTTGATGTAAATTAAGATGTGATAATAGGGACCATGGATTGCACGTACAAAGGTAAAGACAAATATCCCCCATATAGCCTTTAACAGACTGTGGGGGCAAGTGCTGCTAGCGAGTAACACCGATGAGAGCCGGCACGGCGCACAAAGGGTTGGGTGGCCAACACTAAGCCCGGCCGCCTTTGTCTCCCCAGTGCTCCTGTTTACACACCACACCAAGTATTATTTTTCAGGCTGAATCGACCTAGAAGACGCCCGGGACCAGTTCAGAATATTTGTCACAAATGTTGATCACAAGCGGGGATCGAACTCAGCTGGGTTCGCGGAGCGGTGCTACACACGTGGCCACACGGGTGACCACACACGTGGCCACACGGGTGACCACACACGTGACCACTCGGGTGACCACACACGTGGCCACACGGGTGACCACACACGTGGCCACACGGGTGACCACACACGTGGCCACACGGGTGACCACACACGTGGCCACACGGGTGACCACACACGTGACCACTCGGGTGACCACACACGGGTGAGCACTCGGGTGACCACACACGTGGCCACACGGGTGACCACTCGGGTGACCACACACGTGACCACACTGGTGACCACACACGTGACCACTCGGGTGACCACACACGTGACCACTCGGGTGACCACACACGTGACCACTCGGGTGACCACTCGGGTGACCACAAGGGTGACTACACACGTGACCACACGGGTGACCACACACGTGACCACTCATATGACCCCACACGTAACCACACTGGTGACCACACACGTGACCACACACGTGACCACCCGGGTGACCACTCGGGTGACCACAAGGATGACTACACACGGGTGACTACACGGGTGACCACACACGTGACCACTCGGGTGACCCCACACGTGACCACTCGGGTGACCACTCGGGTGACCACAAGGGTGACTACACACGTGACCACACGGGTAACCACACACGTGACCACTCGGATGACCCCACACGTGACCACACGGGTGACCCCACACGTGACCACACGGGTGACCACACACGTGGCCACTAAATCGCATTGTAGAATGAACTGGAGACATTGCAGGAAGCTGTAGATGGAGAGACGGTGTTGACGATTATGATGGTGGTGGTGATGGTGATGTGGAGCTGCAGAGACGGTGATGGTGATGGCGGTGATGATAAATCCCTAGCTGGTAGACAGAGAGAGCTGGGAGTGGTGCAGAGTGATGATATTGCTGTCGAGATAATGATGATGATGATGGAGCTGCAGAGACAATGACCACGTGATGATGACAACGCGGCTGCAGAGACGATGATGACAGTGATGAGGATGGGGCTGCGGAGACGAGGAAGATGATGGAGCTGGCTGGAACTGTATACAGAGCTCTCCTTTGTGTGAAAGCTGGCGGCAGTGAAAGGAGCACTGAGTGGTGGAGGGAGGTGGGGGGGGAGGTGGGGGGGCAGCCCCCACTCCGGGATGAATGAATGAGCGCGGCTCCATTCACGCGCCGCGCATTCTGATTGCAACTCTGGGCGCCTCCGCTTTGTGAACACGGGGGAGGGAGGGAGGGAGGGGTGGGGGTCGAGTGAGATGGCAAATTTATGGAGGGGGTGGCGGTGGGGGGTGGGGGACGGTGTGGGTTGTCTTTGTGGGGCCTGTTCACATCGCGGCGACCGCCCCGAGAGGCCTTCATCCAGCAGTGGATCGGTGGTGGATGACGCTGACGCTGACGATGATGATGATGAAGAGTTGTGTGTATGGGGGGAGTGTGCGGGGTGAGATCCTAGCGGCTCAGGAAGATTGTCGGGGGGGGGGGCTTGATGGCCGGAAGGGGTTCGGGATGGCGAGCGAGTAGGGAAGGAGATTCATTGTGAGCGGCTCAGAGGCTGGAGATGTTGGAGGGAGGGACGAGGGGGGGGGGGGTTAGATGATTGATGGGGAGACATTGGGTTGGAGCGGGGGGGGGGGGCGAGGGGGCAGTTGGTGGTTGAGTCCAAGGTTGGAGGAAGGCAATGGGGGGGGAGGAGGGGGGTGATTATTGGGGCCAAAAGAGGGGGCCAGTTGGTGGTGGTGGGGCATTTGGTGATTTGCAGGAGGAGGGAGGGGGGCGGTTGTGAGGGGGGGGGGAGGAGATGGGTGGGTTGGTGGGGGGTATCGCGCCCCCCCACTTCCCGCCGTGAGTGTTGAGTAATTGCCACGCGGCGTTAGGGGGAGCGGTGGCGCCGCGGTTAGCGTGTCGCGTTAGGGGGAGCTATATAGTAGTTGGTGGAAGTGGTAAGTGGTAGAAGGTGGTAGTCGACAGTGGTAGTTAGTGCTAGTTAGTGCTAGTTAGGGTAATGTTGTGGTAGATCGTGGTGGTTACTAGTGGTTACCACAGTGCTAGTTAGTGGTGGTTAGTGTAGTGCAAGTTAGTTGTTAGTGTAGTGGTAGTTATTGTTGTGCTAGTTAATAATTAGTGTAGTACTTGTTAGTTGCTAGTGTAGTGGTAGTTAGTGGTAGTTAGTGCTAGTTAGTGGTGAGCGTGACGCTAGTTAGTAGTGAGAGTGGAGCTAGTTAGTGGTGAGAGTGGCGCTAGTTAGTGGTGAGAATGGTGCTAGTTAGCGGTGAGTGTGACGCTAGTTAGTGGTGAGGAGTGGCGCTAGTTAATGGTAAGAGTGGCGCTAGTTAGTGGTGAGAGTGGTGCTAGTTAGTGGTGAGAGTGGCGCTAGTTAGTGGTGAGAGTGGCGCTAGTTAGTGGTGAGTGGCGCTAGTTAGTGTTGAGAGTGGCGCTAGTTAGTGGTGAGCGTGATGCTAGTTAGTGGTGAGAGTGGCGCTAGTTAGTGGTGAGAGTGGCGCTAGTTAGTGGTGAGCGTGATGCTAGTTAGTGGTGAGAGTGGTGCTAGTTAATGGTAAGAGTGGCGCTAGTTAGTGGTGAGAGTGACGCTAGTTAGTGGTGAGAGTGGCGCTAGTTAGTGGTGAGCGTAACGCTAGTTAGTAGTGAGAGTGGTGCTAGTTAATGGTAAGAGTGACGCTAGTTAGTGGTGAGAGTGGCGCTAGTTAGTGGTGAGAGTGGCACTAGTTAGTGGTGAGTGTGGCGCTAGTTAGTGGTGAGAGTGGCGCTGGTTAGTGGTGAGTGTGACGCTAGTTAGTGGTGAGAGTGGCGCTAGTTAGTGGTGAGCGTGGCGCTAGTTAGTGGTGAGCATGACGCTAGTTAGTGGTAAGCGTGGTGCTAGTTAGTGGTGGGAGTGGCACTAGTTAGTGGTGAGAGTGGTGCTAGTTAGTGGCGAGAGTGACGCTAGTCAGTGGTGAGCGTGGCGCTAGTTAGTGGTGAGAGTGGCGCTAGTTAGTGGTGAGAGTGGTGCTAGTTAGTGGTGAGTGTGGCGCTAGTTAGTGGTGAGAGTGGCGCTGGTTAGTGGTGAGAGTGACGGTAGTTGGCGGTGAGTGTGGCGCTAGTTAGTGGTGATAGTGGTGCTAGTTAGTGGCGAGAGTGGCGCTGGTTAGTGGTGAGAGGTGGTGCTAGTTAGTGGTGAGAGTGACGGTAGTTGGCGGTGAGTGTGGCGCTAGTTAGTGGTGAGAGTGGTGCTAGTTAGTGGCGAGAGTGGCGCTGGTTAGTGGTGAGAGTGGTGCTAGTTAGTGGTGAGAGTGGCGCTAGTTAGTGGTGAGAATGGCGCTAGTTAGTGGTGAGTGTGGTGCTAGTTAGTGGTGAGTGTGGCGCTAGATAGTGGTGAGAGTAGCGCTAGTTAGTGGTGAGAGTAGCGCTAGTTAGTGGTGAGCGTGGCGCTAGTTAGTGGTGAGCGTGACGCTAGTTAGTGGTGAGTGTGGTGCTAGTTAGTGGTGAGTGTGGCGCTAGATAGTGGTGAGAGTAGCGCTAGTTAGTGGTGAGCGTGGCGCTAGTTAGTGGTGAGTGTGACGCTAGTTAGTGGTGAGCGTGACGCTAGTTAGTGGTGAGAGTGGTGCTAGTTAATGGTGAGAGTGGCGCTAGTTAGTGGTGAGTGTGGCGCTAGTTAGTGGTGAGGGTGGCGCTAGTTAGTGGTGAGAGTGGCGCTAGTTAGTGGTGAGCATGCCGCTAGTTAGTGGTGAGAGTGACGCTAGTTAGTGGTGAGCGTGACGCTAGTTAGTGGTGAGAGTGGCGCTAGTTAGTGGTGAGTGTGGCGCTAGTTAGTGGTGAGTGTGACGCTAGTTAGTGGTGAGCGTGATGCTAGTTAGTGGTGAGAGTGGCGCTAGTTAGTGGTGAGAGTGGCGCTAGTTAGTGGTGAGTGTGGAGCTAGTTAGTGGTGAGAATGACGCTAGTTAGTGGTGAGCGTGACGCTAGTTAGTGGTGAGAGTGGCGCTAGTTAGTGGTGAGAGTGGCGCTAGTTAGTGGTGAGTGTGGTTATAGTTAGTGGTGAGCGTGACGCTAGTTAGTGGTGAGAGTGGTGCTAGTTAATGGTGAGAGGTGCTAGTTAGGGGTGAAAGTGGCGCTAGTTAGTGGTGAGCGTGACGCTGGTTAATGGTGAGAGTGGCGCTAGTTAGTGGTGAGAGTGGTGCTAGTTAATGGTGAGAGTGGCGCTAGTTAGTGGTGAGCGTGATGCTAGTTAGTGGTGAGAGAGGTGCTAGTTAGTGGTGAGCGTGACGCTAGTTAGTGGTGAGAGAGGTGCTAGTTAGTGGTGAGCGTGGCGCTAGTTAGTGGTGAGAGTGGTGCTAGTTAGTGGTGAGCGTGGCGCTAGTTAGTGGTGAGAGTGGTGCTAGTTAGTGGTGAGCGTGACGCTAGTTAGTGGTGAGCGTGACGCTGGTTAGTGGTGAGAGTGGCGCTAGTTAATGGTGAGAGTGGTGCTAGTTAATGGTGAGAGGCGCTAGTTAGTGGTGAGCGTGGCGCTAGTTAGTGGTGAGAGTGGCGCTGGTTAGTGGTGAGTGTGGCGCTAGTTAGTGGTGAGAGTGGTGCTAGTTAATGGTGAGAGGCGCTAGTTAGTGGTGAGCGTGGCGCTAGTTAGTGGTGAGAGTGGCGCTGGTTAGTGGTGGGAGTAGCGCTGGTTAGTGGTGAGTGTGGCGCTAGTTAGTGGTGAGCGTGGCGCTAGTTAGTGGTGAGAGTGGCGCTAGTTAGTGGTGAGAGTGGCGCTGGTTAGTGGTGAGTGTGGCGCTAGTTAGTGGTGAGAGTGGTGCTAGTTAATGGTGAGAGGCGCTAGTTAGTGGTGAGCGTGGCGCTAGTTAGTGGTGAGAGTGGCGCTGGTTAGTGGTGAGCGTGGCGCTAGTTAGTGGTGAGCGTGACGCTAGTTAGTGGTGAGCGTGACGTTAGTTAGTGGTGAGCGTGACGCTGGTTAGTGGTGAGAGTGGCGCTAGTTAATGGTGAGAGGCGCTAGTTAGTGGTGAGCGTGGCGCTAGTTAGTGGTGAGCGTGGTGCTGGTTAGTGGTGCGAGTGGCGCTAGTTAGTGGTGAGTGTGGCGCTAGTTAGTGGTGAGAGTGGTGCTAGTTAATGGTGAGAGGCGCTAGTTAGTGGTGAGCGTGGCGCTAGTTAGTGGTGAGCGTGGCGCTGGTTAGTGGTGCGAGTGGCGCTAGTTAATGGTGAGTGTGGCGCTAGTTAGTGGTGAGAGTGGTGCTAGTTAATGGTGAGAGGCGCTAGTTAGTGGTGAGCGTGGCGCTAGTTAGTGGTGAGAGTGGCGCTAGTTAGTGGTGAGAGTGGCGCTGGTTAGTGGTGAGCGTGGCGCTGGTTAGTGGTGAGAGTGGCGCTGGTTAGTGGTGAGCGTGGCGCTAGTTAGTGGTGAGCGTGGTGCTGGTTAGTGGTGCGAGTGGCGCTAGTTAGTGGTGAGTGTGGCGCTAGTTAGTGGTGAGAGTGGTGCTAGTTAATGGTGAGAGGCGCTAGTTAGTGGTGAGCGTGGCGCTAGTTAGTGGTGAGCGTGGCGCTGGTTAGTGGTGCGAGTGGCGCTAGTTAGTGGTGAGTGTGGCGCTAGTTAGTGGTGAGAGTGGCGCTAGTTAGTGGTGAGAGTGGCGCTGGTTAGTGGTGAGCGTGGCGCTGGTTAGTGGTGAGAGTGGCGCTGGTTAGTGGTGAGCGTGGTGCTGGTTAGTGGTGCGAGTGGCGCTAGTTAGTGGTGAGTGTGGCGCTAGTTAGTGGTGAGAGTGGTGCTAGTTAATGGTGAGAGGCGCTAGTTAGTGGTGAGCGTGGCGCTAGTTAGTGGTGAGCGTGGCGCTGGTTAGTGGTGAGAGTGGCGCTAGTTAGTGGTGAGTGTGGTTATAGTTAGTGGTGAGCGTGACGCTAGTTAGTGGTGAGAGTGGCACTAGTTAGTGGTGAGAGTGGCGCTAGTTAGTGGTGAGTGTGGTTATAGTTAGTGGTGAGCGTGACGCTAGTTAGTGGTGAGAGTGGTGCTAGTTAATGGTGAGAGGCGCTAGTTAGTGGTGAGCGTGGCGCTGGTTAGTGGTGTGAGTGGCGCTAGTTAGTGGTGAGTGTGGCGCTAGTTAGTGGTGAGAGTGGTGCTAGTTAATGGTGAGAGGCGCTAGTTAGTGGTGAGCGTGGCGCTAGTTAGTGGTGAGCGTGGTGCTGGTTAGTGGTGCGAGTGGCGCTAGTTAGTGGTGAGTGTGGCGCTAGTTAGTGGTGAGAGTGGTGCTAGTTAGTGGTGAGCGTGGCGCTAGTTAGTGGTGAGCGTGGCGCTAGTTAGTGGTGAGAGTGGCGCTGGTTAGTGGTGAGCGTGGCGCTAGTTAGTGGTGAGAGTGGTGCTAGTTAGTGGTGAGCGTGACGCTAGTTAGTGGTGAGCGTGGCGCTAGTTAGTGGTGAGAGTGGCGCTGGTTAGTGGTGAGTGTGGCGCTGGTTAGTGGTGCGAGTGGCGGTAGTTGTCGGTGGTTACCGCCGTAGTGGACGGGGATCTCGATGCGGGGCCCGATGACGTAGTGGCCCTCCTCCAGGCTGTGTGCACACACGGCGCTCCACTGGCGGCACGAGTGCACCAGCACCACCTCGCCGCTCCGCTGGACGCTGTCCAGCGGGTGGCCTGCAGCACCACCACCACCGTCACCACCGTCACCACCGTCACCACCATCATCATCATCATCAGCAGCACCACCAGCAGCACCACCACCATCACCACCGTCACCACCATCATCATCAGCAGCAGCACCACCAGCAGCATCATCATCATCACCACCGTCACCACCATCATCATCATCATCAGCAGCACCACCACCAGCAGCACCACCATCACCACCGTCACCATCATCATCATCAGCACCACCAGCAGCATCATCATCACCATCACCACCATCATCATAATCAGCACCATCACCACCATCATCAGCACCATCACCACCATCATCAGCACCACCACCATCATCATCAGCAGCACCACCACCAGCAGCATCATCACCACCACCACCATCATCATCAGCACCACCACCACCACCAGCATCATCATCATCACCACCACCACCACCATCATCATCATCAGCACCACCACCAGCAGCATCATCAGCAGCACCATCATCAGCAGCACCATCATCATTAGCACCATCATCAGCACCACCACCATCAGCAGCACCATCATCAGCAGCATAATCATCAGCAGCATCAGCAGCATCAGCACCATCATCAGCACCACCTCCCCACTCCACACACTCTCCAATGAGTGGCCTGTCCCACCACCATCAGCACCATCATTTTCAGCACCGGCATCATCATCAGCACCATCAGCATAATTATAATATGATCATCATCATCAGCACCATCAGCAGCAGCATCATAAGCATCAACATGATCAGTAACAATAGAAGCAGATCAGCAGTGATCTCATCATCAGCAACAGCACACACGCACATCCATAAAAAACACATGCAGCCACCAGGCGGTATGTGCCAGGCTAGGTGCACTTTATATGCATTTCCTGTACAGTAAACAGGCAGCTGTGCCAGACGCAGTGCGCGTGAAAGTGAGGGTGGGATGTTCACAGACTCAATACCACCACCACGACAACCACCATCAATACCGATATCAGCACTACTACTGCAACCACCACCACTAAAGACTATATCACTCACATCGCTACCATCACCACCACCACCACACTCACTTCCCCTCACCTACCCCCAACCACTATCACCACCAAAGACAAAGATCCCCCGTGTAGCCTTAACAGATTGTTGGGGCAAGTGATGGTAGCAAGCACCAATGAAGGCCGGCACGGCACACGAGGGGGTGGGTGGCCAGCACCACGCCCGGCCAACTTTGTCTCCCCAGTGGCGATGTTTTTATACACCGCACCAGATACTCATTTGAGGCTGAGTCGATCTAAGGGAGGCCCAGGACCGGTTCAGATATTCGTCACTGGCGTTATCCGTGAACGGGAGTCGAACTCGGCCAGCCGGGTCCGTAGTGCAGCGCGCTAACCACTACACTACCGCGCCCCACTCACATCACAATCACCAACATGACCATCACCACGAACAACCCCTTACCTCGACAACCACTATCACTGAAAACCACCACGCAATCCATTCTCACCACCACCACCATCACCACCGCCACCACCACCATCACCACCACCATCACCACCGCCACCATCGCCACCGCCACCACCATCACCACCGCCACCACCACCATCACCACCACCATCATCATCACCATCATCACCACCACCACCATCACCACCGCCACCATCACCACCACCGCCACCATCACCACCACCACCATCACCACCACCACCGCCACCATCACCACCACCGCCACCATCACCACCACCACCATCACCACCACCACCGCCACCATCACCACCATCGCCACCGCCACCACCATCACCACCATCACCACCACCACCACCGCCACACTCGCTCTCCCTCCCTCCCACCCCCAGCCCTGCCCCCACCCCCGCACCTGTTGCTCCGATCCCTCACCCAGAGCCGTCGCCACTTGGGGCCCGCCGCGCGGTGTCAGCCTGAGCCATCGCCGTTCACACCCCCCCCCTAGCCAGCCCCCCCCCTCTAGCCAGCCCCCCCTCCTCTAGCCAGCCCCCCCCCTAGCCAGCCCCCCCCCCCCCCCCCCTAGCCAGCCCCCCCCCCTCCTCTAGCCAGCCCCCCCCCCTAGCCAGCCCCCCCCCCCCCCTCTAGCCAGCCCCCCCCCCCCTAGCCAGCCCCCCCCCCTCTAGCCAGCCCCCCCCCTCCTCTAGCCAGCCCCCCCCTCCTCTAGCCAGCCCCCCCCTCTAGCAGCCCCCCCCTAGCCAGCCCCCTCCCTCTAGCCAGCCCCCCCCCTCCTCTAGCCAGCCCCCCCCTCCTCTAGCCAGCCCCCCCCCTCTAGCAGCCCCCCCCCCTCTAGCCAGCCCCCCCCTCCTCTAGCCAGCCCCCCCATCTGTAGGTTATCTGGATAAGATGAAGAGGTGGATCGCGACTGACCACAGAGCATCAGTCAACGGAGGAAACGCGAACGAGATCTCGTCCGCTGCGGAGACGGAGCGGGCTGATCGCTCGACCCAGGAGAGGTGGCGACGGCTAGGGGGAGGCCTTCTTCCAGCAGTGGATACATCAAGGATGATGATGATGATGATGCATATGATGGCCATGCAATGTACAATCGAACAAGAAATTCCCCACAGAGTACTTATCCAGGAGAATCTCAACGAGTCTCAAGACGCTCCTCATAGGTTCTTGCTACGTTGGGATATTTGACCAGGAATTCCATTCACACATTGGGTGTGGGTTATATTTTTTGCCAGTATACCGGGTAACTCGGGGGGGGGGGGTGACGCTCAGAGATCCACACATACGGGTACACGAACCCAATTTGCCGTGCTACAATCTGCTGGGCCACCTCGCACACAGCCCAGGAGAGGTGGGGGGAGGAGGAGGGGGGAGGGGTTGGGAGATTCACAAATCTTTGCGTGATCCACGAACCCTCGCCTCCACGCCCGGCGTGTGCGTTCGGATGCGGCGCTAATGACGGGGATGGCGGAGATTGTTTTAGATTGTGTTAATTAGCTGGGAGGCTGCAACCCAATTAAGGGAGGGTGGAGGGGGGGCGAGGCGTGGTGGGGTGTTAGTGGGGAGGGTGCGGGACTACATCGTCGGAAGCCGTCTCGTAGCGGCGACCAGACCTCGACATTGGCATCGAGCTCCTAGAGATATTGATGATGATGCTGATGATGCTGCCATCGTGCGCAATAATGTGCTGGACGTTGAAGTTTTTACGCCCCGTACGTAGCCAACCGTGCTAATCGGAGGTGCGGGGGAAGGACAAGTCGGTGCCACGTTCGCAACACCGCCACTGCATAATCGACATCGTTACAACAGCCACGATAATCATCATCAGCAGCACCGTTGTAATGATCATTGTTACCACCACCACCACATCAAAGACATCGACCCCCCGTATAGCCTGTAACAGACTGTTGGGGCAAGTGCTAGCGAGCACCTATGAAGGCCGGAAGTGCACTCCCACGCCTTTCTGACACCAGTGGAGACGTTTACACACCGCACCAGGTAATCATTTCAAGCTGAGTCGACCTCGGGGAAGCCCAGGACCGGTTCAGATAATCGTCACTGATGTTGGCCGTGAGCAGGAATCTAACTCGGGTGGCCGGGTTCGTAGTGCAGCGCGCTAACCGCTACACTGTTGTTCCCCACGTGAACACACACACACAGTCTTTCATACACACACACAGCCATACAATCACACAGTAGCAAACTGTATATGCGAACACACACAATAACATTCTCTCACACATAAAGACAAAGATCCCTCCGGTAGCCTAAAGAGATTGTTAGGGCAAGTGCTGTTATCGAGCACCTATGAAGGCCGGGGCGGTACACGAGGTGGTGTTCGGACCACGCCTGGCCGGCCAGCACCACGCCTCGCCGGCCAGCACCACGCCTGGCCGGCCAGCACCACGCCTGGCCGGCCAGCACCACGCCTGGCCGGCCAGCACCACGCCTGGCCGGCCAGCACCACGCCTGGCCGGCCAGCACCACGCCTGGCCGGCCAGCACCACGCCTGGCCGGCCAGCACCACGCCTGGCCGGCCAGCACCACGCCTGGCCGGCCAGCACCACGCCTGGCCGGCCAGCACCACGCCTGGCCGGCCAGCACCACGCCTGGCCGGCCAGCACCACGCCTGGCCGGCCAGCACCACGCCTGGACGGCCAGCACCACGCCTGGCCGGCCAGCACCACGCCTGGCCGGCCAGCACCACGCCTGGCCGGCCAGCACCACGCCTGGCCGGCCAGCACCACGCCTGGTCCAATCTGTTTCCACTTTGGCGATGTTTACACCGCACCAGGTACTCATTTGAGTGCGAGTCGACCTAGGGGAGGCCTAGGTCCGGTTCACTCACGCACAATCACACACACCCCATTATACCGACACACGCACTCACATTCACAAACACAATCACTCACACCATGACACACACACACGTGATCACTCCAACAACAACAACCACCGCCATTCACCACTAAGTGGCGGTGACGTCTTCACGGTGCTTGTGCCAGGCTAGGTGCACTTTGAGGCCACGTGAAGTGTCGAAGGCCCGCTGGCAGGAGGTCACGGAACGTAGGTGCCATGGGTTGACTGAGAGCACTGACAGATGCACCACCTGTGCTCCTCACTGTGCTAATATTCTACGTTTTATCCGCCCGGCGAACTGCTCGTTGTTGTGAGCGTCGCTCCTCTGCCCTCCCCAGTGGCTGGAAGACGACTGCCTCCAACTTCCCAGCAGCGTTCTTCACATACACACTCACAAACCTTTAGTCACACAGTGATACACAGACTAAGAGACGCCGTATAACACATACTCACCTACATCATCACACACAGTGACACGCACAGCTATACACACACAGTGTAATGCACACTCACACACAGCGACACACGCACACACAGTAACACTCACAGTGACACACAGTGACACACTAAAACAATACGAAGACACATGCACCTCGACAAATTCGCAGTGCCACACACGCACGATGTGATATGGTGACCCACGCACGATGTGATAGGGTGACACATATACAGTGACACTCACACAGTGACACAATCAATGACACACGTACACACTGCGACACGCACCCAGTGTCACACAGTGACACGCACAATCAGTGACACACGCACGCACACTCGGAATGACATCAAAGCGAAGTCGCCGCGTCCCCCGCCTGACCCCCCCCTCCCTCGCCCCCGTAGATCGCGACACGCATCGCGATGATGTCGCGCCCGATGTCGCGACCGACCTGGGTCTGGCCTCACGAGCAGCGGCAGGCGGAACTTGTTGAGGATGAGGTCGAGCGGCCAAGACACGCAGCTCCATCGCAGCTGCCCGGGATCCATCCTCTCTCCCCGCGCGGGGTGGGTGGGTGGATGGGGGGTGCAGCTGCAGCAGCAGCGGCAGCAGCAGCGGCGACGGGCAGCACAGCGGTGGTGGTGGGCAGCGGTGGGCAGCAGCTGCGTCTCACGGTCGGTCCCCTTTCGCCGGGATCTCTGCTGCGGCCCCCATCACCCCCCTCGCACCCCCAGGGGTCGCGCCGTCGCCTCTGCAGAATCCGTGCGCGTGACGGTTCGCCATGTTTCTCGTCGATCCACGCTGTCTCGCTCTCTCCTCCCTCTCCGTGTCCTCTCCCCTCTCGCCCTCCTCTCTCTCTCTCTCCCTTTCCCTGCCTCTCCTCGGTCGCTCCTCCCCCTGCTTCGCTCCACTCTCCGCTCCCTGTTCTGAACGCTCCCGCCCACGCGATGCCTCTCTCCCTACTCTCCCCGTGACGGCCGTAGTGATGCTAAATGAGGGTCATCGCGAACGGAGGCGGTGGGTGGTGGGGCGAGGGGTTTGGTGGGAGAGAGTGGGAGTTGGAATTGGAGAGATGTAAGAGAGAGAGCGGGTTAGAGGGGGTGGGGGAGAGGCTAAGGCGAGAATAAGAGATAGTGGTGGTGGGGGAGGGAGAGGCTATGGGAGAAATGTAAGAGAGGGGGAGAGAGTGGTGTGAGAAAGTGAGAGAGCGGGGGAGAGGGTTAGAAGGGGTGGGGGAGAGGCGAAGGCGAGAATAAGAGATAGTGGTGGTGGTGGGGCGAGGGTGGGAGGGAAAGGCTCGGGGAGCGTCAGAGAGAGTACGCGAGAGAGAGGGGGGCATGGAGAGAGAGGGGGGGCAGTGAATGGAGAGACAGGGGTTACAGGCAGAGGGAGTGTGAAAGGAGAGAATAGGAGATAAAAACTGGAGAGTTAGGGAGGGAGTTGAGAGAGTGGAAGATATATGAAGGGAGAGGGATTGAGAGGGGGAGGTGGTGCGAGAATGAGCGCTGATTTCCCACGTGATGAGAGCTATAACAGTGGCCCTTATTGACGCATCAAAAAAACGCCTCTCCGAGTCTCAAGACGTCTTGTTCAGGAGGCTGCTGCTGCTGTGATGTTTGGCCAATTCGTGTAGGAAGTAGTCTGGGAGCGCGGAGAACATCGCGCACGCCAGCGAGGAGGGGGGGAGTCGCGACCTCGGCTCGCGCGGTGCCCTCGTCTCATCCACGGGCCCCTCTCTCCGTGTCTCTCCGCGCTAATTCCAAGGGGGCACCGCAATCGCCCCGCACTTTCAACTGGACACCTCGCAGTCTGACTTATCTAGCAGTCTCACTTCTCTAGCAGTCTCACTTCTCTAGCAGTCTCACGTCTCTAGCAGTCTGACTTCTCTAGCAGTCTCACTTCTCTAGCAGTCTCACGTCTCTAGCAGTCTGACTTCTCTAGCAGTCTCTCTTCTCTAGCAGTCTCACTTCTCTAGCAGTCTCTCTTCTCTAGCAGTCTCACTTCTCTAGCAGTGTCACTTCACTAACAGTCTCACTTCTCTAGCAGTCTCACTTCTCTAGCAGTCTCACTTCTCTAGCAGTCTCACTTCTCTAGCAGTCTCACTTCTCTAGCAGTCTCACTTCTCTAGCAGTGTCACTTCACTAACAGTCTCACTTCTCTAGCAGTCTCACTTCTCTAGCAGTGTCACTTCACTAACAGTCTCACTTCTCTAGCAGTCTCACTTCTCTAGCAGTCTCACTTCTCTAGCAGTCTCACTTCTCTAGCAGTCTCACTTCTCTAGCAGTCTCACTTCACTAGCAGTCTCACTTCTCTAGCAGTCTCACTTCACTAGCAGTCTCACTTCTCTAGCAGTCTCACTTCTCTAGCAGTCTCACTTCACTAGCAGTCTCACTTCTCTAGCAGTCTCACTTCTCTAGCAGTCTCACTTCACTAGCAGTGTCACTTCACTAGCAGTCTCACTTCACTAGCAGTCTCACTTCACTAGCAGTCTCACTTCTCTAGCAGGCTCACTTCTCTAGCAGTCTCACTTCTCTAGCAGTCTCACTTCTCTAGCAGTCTCACTTCTCTAGCAGTGTCACTTCACTAACAGTCTCACTTCTCTAGCAGTCTCACTTCTCTAGCAGTCTCACTTCTCTAGCAGTCTCACTTCTCTAGCAGTCTCACTTCTCTAGCAGTCTCACTTCACTAGCAGTCTTACTTCTCTAGCAGTCTCACTTCACTAGCAGTCTCAACTTCTCTAGCAGTCTCACTTCTCTAGCAGTCTCACTTCTCTAGCAGTCTCACTTCTCTAGCAGTCTCACTTCTCTAGCAGACTCACTTCTCTAGCAGTCTCACTTCTCTAGCAGTCTCACTTCTCTAGCAGTCTCACTTCACTAGCAGTCTTACTTCTCTAGCAGTCTCACTTCACTAGCAGTCTCAACTTCTCTAGCAGTCTCACTTCTCTAGCAGTCTCTAGCAGTCTCACTTCTCTAGCAGTCTCACTTCTCTAACAGTGTCACTTCTCTAGCAGTCTCACTTCACTAGCAGTCTCACTTCTCTAACAGTCTCACTTCTCTAGCAGTCTCTAGCAGTCTCACTTCTCTAGCAGTCTCACTTCACACGCAGTCTGACTTCTCTAGCAGTCTCATTTCTCTAGCAGTCTCACGTCTCTAGCAGTCTCTCTTCTCTAGCAGTGTCACTTCACTAGCAGTGTCACTTCTCTAGCAGTTTCACTTCTCTGGCAGTCTCACTTCACTAGCATTCTCACTTCTCTAGCAGTCTAACTTCTCTAGCAGTCTGACTTCACTAGCAGTCTAACTTCTCTAGCAGTCTCACATCACTCGCAGTCTCACTTCTCCAGCAGCCTCACTTCTCTAGCAGTCTAACCTCTCTAGCAGTCTCACTTCTCTAGCAGTCTGACTTCTCTAGCAGTCTCACTTCTCTAGCAGTCTCACTTCTCTAGCAGTGTCACTTCACTAACAGTCTCACTTCTCTAGCAGTCTCACTTCTCTAGCAGTCTCACTTCACTCGTAGTCTCACTTCTCTAGCAGTCTCACTTCTCTAGCAGTCTCTAGCAGTCTCACTTCTCTAGCAGTCTCACTTCTCCAGCAGTCTCACTTGTCTAGCAGTCTCTAGCAGTCTCACTTCTCTAGCAGTCTCACTTCTCTAGCAGTCTCACTTCTCTAGCAGTCTCACTTCTCTAGCAGTCTCACTTCTCTAGCAGTCTCACTTCTCTAGCAGTCACACTTCACTCGTAGTCTCACGTCTCTAGCAGTCTCACTTCACTAGCAGTCTCACTTCTCTAGCAGTCTCACTTCTCTAGCAGTCTCACTTCTCTAGCCGTCTCACTTCACTAGCAGTCTCACTTCTCTAGCAGTGTCACTTCTCTAGCAGTCTCACTTCACTAGCAGTCTCACTTCTCTAGCAGTCTCACTTCTCTAGTAGTCTCATTTCTCTAGCAGTCTCACTTCTCTAGCAGTCTCTAGCAGTCTCACTTGTCTAGCAGTCTCACTTCTCTAGTAGTCTCACTTCTCTAGCAGTCTCACTTCTCTAGCAGTCTCACTTCACTAGCAGTCTCACTTCCCCTTCGTCGGTTGTGGAGGACCGCGCACGTGCGGACCACGTGGCCACGCGGCAGGTAGTTGGTGGGCACGCACTTCTTAATCCGCGATGTTTGGGTTTCATGACCGAAGTGATGAAACAATAAAAAAACGACGAACTATTTTTAAATGATACCAGGTAAGGCCCCACTGAGCTAAACATAGCTCTTTTTTTCTGAAGCGACCTGGCAATGATAAACGATAGCTCAGCGAGGTGGCTTATTGTCACGTGCACATGGATAGCAGCCAAATATTTTAAACGCGTAATGTTGATTCTAAATGTGGAGGGGAAAACCGGGGGACCCGGTGAAAAATCTACGCGACCGCGGGGAGAGAGACACGCCAACTTCAAATATACAACAGGCGTCGTCAGGGTCGGGATTGAACCCAACCCACGACCTCCTGCAAACCAAGGGAGGTAGTTAACATCTCGCTACCGTGGCGACCCCTATTCGTTCGCGTCTTCGTGGAAAATATAGTGAACAAAATAAATCACGTGTCCGTTACCCATCTCGCGACATCAAAAATAATTTTACAAATAAGAAATCTGTTCCTTCAAATCACATCAGCCGCATGGCCTTCTGGGAGTACGTTTCATAAGCGGCATTCTTTCAAGACAAGCAACACTCCGGACGCGGTTTCGACACGCAGCGTCTCATCATCAGCAGCAGCAGAGCCAGGCTTGGCTGAATCAACGCTGCAGGTGAACTGCTGATCTTAGAGGCAGGAAGGGATTCCTCTGTCTCTCTCTCACGCCTCCATCGGGGTCCACCCTGGCTCGATACGCAAAACCAGATCGCAACTCAAGGTAATCGTGAGCGCCCTTCGTGGCGAATCTAAATACTAAAAGAGCATCAGGCATCGTGTCTCCTTCACACCACCACCACCACTACCACCTCCACCACCTCGGCCTCCTGCCCTCCCCCCTCTCTATCCTCGCTCCGACGCTGCGTCCACCTCTTCTGACGCCTCCCCAGTGGCGCCCGCTCCCACGACTGTCTGTCTCTCCCCGCTGGTTTGGCGATCTTGTGTCTGTGTGTTTGTCAAACTTCTTTCGCACCGTACGTAGCCAACCGTGCGGAGTGGGGGGGACAACAAACGAAACACAACACAACTGTTGTTGTTAAAACGAGCCTCTCCGTTTCTCGTGGTTCATCCCGAGCCTCGCTCTCGACCAATTCTCGCGACGTGCCTGAAGGTTGTGACGGTCCAGCGAGACGGCAACAGCACTGACCGTGACGCTGCCCGGGCAGCAGTGACACGTTGGCCACCGCTGTCCGTCACGTGACAGCTCGTTCGATTGGCCGTGTCGGGTGGAGGAGGATTCACGACACACATTCTAGCGACGCGGCCAGTTCACCCAAAACATCAATCGCGAATCTCCAGCCCATGTGTGTTATGTAGCCAAAGACAAAGATCGCCCGCATAGCCTTTCGCAGACTTTTGGAGCAAGTGCTGTTTGCGAGCGCCTATGAAAGGCCAGCACGGCACACGAGGGGGTGGGGTGGCGAGCACCACGGCAGGCCGCCTTTGTCTCCCCAGTACTGAGGTTTACACATCGCACCGGGTACTAATTTAAGGCCGAGTCGACCTAGAGGAGGAGGCCCGCGACGGGTTCGATATTCGCCACCGATGTTGCCCGTGGGCCGGGAGTCGAACCGGGGTGGCCGGGTTCGTAGCGCTCCCTCTGCGCGTGATGATGGCTGGGTGATCACACGCGATTAACCACGTGTCCCACCCGCTCATAATCTTGACGATCCAGACCCCACATTCCTCCAATCCAACCTTCGTCGAATCGCCTCCTCGCCTGTCCGTGCCGTGTGTTGTAGAGGTGTGCATCAAACTGAGACATCTCGCAGAGCTGGGGCCCTGGCCTACCAACAATCTGGCAGCTCGCCAGCATTGGCTCCAGCGAGCTGATGAGACATTGAGTGTCGAAGCCATTCCTTGCCGATAAA